CAGACGCACTACATTGTGGATTTCGATACCATGTACGGGCGGATCCCCATGGCAATATATGAATGAAACCATGTATTACCGCTCCGGCAACGAAAAAGCTTTGACGAAATTGAGGGGTCACGTAACACTTTTTAGGAAGCTGTTATGGGTAGCTCGCGATTTGGCACAATAAGTGATAAAGAGAAAAAGGCTAGATTTGCCTTGAGTGGCCGACCCCATGTCGATACTGGAGTGATCCACAGGTGAAGGAATTCTTGGATAAATACAACATGACAAAAATACGGCTCCATGGCTGTGCGTATGGGCTAAGGAACAGCAGAGGGCAATTCATGAAAAAGCCATGGAGTATTGCATCGTCCTCTAGCATGATGGCCGAAGGTTTGATACGTAGATGGGACGGCAGTCATAGGCATGTGGAAGCGAGAGGAAGGGATTGCAAGCGGGCGGAAGACTACACGGACGAGTTTGCGAGACGCGTGCATGCGTTGGCTTTGCAGGCGCTTGTGAATGAGGCATGCGTGAGTACGATGTACCGTGCCCCCGCGAATGCTGCACCCGCTGTTGTGTGTATTGGAATGCCTGCGACCGCTGCCGTTTTGGCTCTTAATGCGGCCCGTGCGCAGCCCCCCAACGCGGCTGCCCCGCCAGCCATAACTCCCTGCTCGCGCCGCCGCTGCTCGCCGGCGCCTCGTAGCCAAACCTCAGGCGCCCTCGCTGCGCCTTCATTCATCGGTCGCGGGCCCCGCAGGCCCGCAAGCCACGTGAGGAAGGGCGCAGGGTGCCCCGCCATCAGCAAGGGACTTCCCTTGAAGGACGAGCAAAGGACAATGTCCTGCATCGCTCATGGACGGTTGCGCGGATTCTGGGGAACAGAATTTCCAACATGGGCAAGACTGCCCGAACGTGTTTGGATACGAACCCATTAAGCGCATCCTGCAGGACAGAGACATGGAATATATGGAACAATGAACTTCTAGGGGAGATAACAGGCCTCCTCTGGCTCGCGAAGCACTTCATAAACGACTCCAAGCTCGAGCGCCGCTATGCCGCGGGAAGTGCAATGGACTATGACTTGGGTCGCCCAGACCAGTATGCGTTACCGTGCGGCCGCTGGGGCGACGCAGAGATATTCCTCTTCCATGCCACTCAAGGAGCCGACGAGAGTAATGAGCACGGAGGTAGTCGCATGCGATCCCGTGGAGCAAGACCCCGAGCCTGTACCAGGTGTTGGGGCTGCGCCCGGGGGAACAACTCGGAAAGTCCTTCCGCGATGCGTGCCAGTCCCTACATGTGGACAAGCGGAGGAAATTCGAGAGCGATGGGCTCGATGAGCCCGGCATGTTGACAAAAGTAATTAAGAAGCCATCATGCCATCCAACAGTGGACGCACCGCCGGATGTCTACCATGCCATTTGGAACTCCGCCAGCGCCGGCAACGTTCCATGGATCGGAGGACTTGAGCCCTACGCACAGGGCATGCACTTACCCGTAATACGGAGAAAGCAATCAAATTGGGAAGTGCCGCGAGAGTTCGGCGGACATCGTCTGGTCGAGGACATGAGTGCCGTGCTGATTGCGCCTTGGATGGATTCTGGGGCGCATGCAGAGTACCGCATCACCCGACCATTCCTCACCCAGGCCCAGAATGAGGCCCTGCTCCAAGCATGGCTTCAGGAGCCCGCCGATCGACTGTTTCACGACCTGGAGACAATGACGCCACGCCAGTTCTTCAGGTGGTTCGAGAATCCAGTCTGGGATCAGGTGGGCCGGTGCCGGCCCAATGGGCCGCGGAGGCACATTGCCGATCGGTTCTACTCCACCCGCGCCACGATGCCCGACAATGTCGCGTGGACTGGCGTGGTCGGCGACCCCGACAACATCCCGATTGGACCAGAGGGACTTTGCGTTACCCGCAGAGGGAGAATGAGCCTATTCAGAAAAGTCCCCTTGGCAGGAATATGCTGATGCGGGACATTTCGGCTATGACCTCCTACGACGGCGCCGCGTTCAAATGCCTAGAGGCACGTGTCAGGGAATATCCGACTTGCAAGAAAATTCGGGACCCCGGCGACCGACCAGCGTGGTCGCGCGACCCATGGCCGGACGTCGCGCTGGAGGGGCGCCGAAAGCCACGCGATCAAGAGTACAGAGTGGAGTTCCAGGACAGTCTCGTCCATCGCGGCTGGCTAAGGCGCGCCGATTACATATCGCCTGAGCCTGACCACAGGCGCGGCCAGGGGCTTCCTGATATTGACTTCGACCCGACTCCCCTCTACGCGGAGCCGTTGCCACGCCTCAATTTGCGACAGCAAGTCTTGCAGGGGGAGGCGGCGAGGCGCGCCGACATTGAGCGCGAAGCTGCCCCCGCGGCGGCGCGTCGTGCGCCATCCGGGGGAGGCAATCCATCGAACCGCTGGAATCGAACGAGGGGAGAGGGCGCGAGGCAGTCGTCGAGGGACTACACGGCGAGGGGGCCGCCGTCTCCTCCGCCTAAAGCACCTCCCGGAGGACAGCCGCCCAAGAAGGCGCCGCCTAAGCCTCCGGCTAAGCCTCCGGGTCCTAAGGCTCCACCTACGTGCTGCGACCAGGGCGAGAGCCGCCCGCCGAAGCCTCGGGCTCCTAGGGCGCCACCGTCATACTCGGACGCAAGACAGGGGGGTCCGCCGAAGCCGCAGGCTCCCGGCGCGGCCCCGACTTACCGCGCACCGAATGAGGACCGCGCGCCGAAGCCTCAGGCCCCCGGCGCACCGCCCTCCAATCCCGCCTATGGCGAGGGGAGGGCGCCGAAGCCTCAGGCCCCCTGCGCACCGCCTGCCCATCCAGCGAATGGCGAATGGGGGGATCCCGAAGCCGCAGGCTCCGGGTGCGACCCCGACCTCCAACGCCCAAGGCGGAGGCAGACGCCCTAAGCCGTTCGCGCTGGGCTACGCCCCTCCGTATATGGCGCCTCCCCAGGGGGTGGCGTCTCCCAGGGCGCCGCCGCGGCCCGCGCGAGATCCTACTGAAAAGCTTCCGCAGGCGCCACCGAGTAAGGGGCCGCCTCCCAGCCCACCGAAGGCAAAGCCTCCGCCTCCTGGGTTCGGGCCATGTCCAACGGGCGCGAGAGTGCCTCCGTCGCCACCGCCGAGCAGCTATACGCCAGCAGAGGAGCATGGTAAGCCCCCGCCTGCAAAGCAGCCCAAGCAAAAGAGGGCACCTCCCGCGCCACCGCGCGCTCCACCTGCGGATGCCGCGGGCGGCCGAGAGCAGCAGGCACCTGGCAACTACGCTGATCAGAATATGCAGGGACTGAACGAGCGCCTGTGCAGATTCCAGGAACAGCAAGAGGCAGCCATAACTCCTCAACAAGAGGAGGTCCCGGCGCGTTCTCCAGCCCATGGCTCGGGCGGCATGGGCAAGCAGGCGACCGGCGACTACGCCGCGAGTGAAACGCAGGGGCTGAGGCGACGTCTTGAAAGGGAACAAAAGATTAATGGATGCAGCAGGGCTGCCGCAGCCGAGCAACGGCAACGCGCCGAGGCCAGCGCCTCCGCGGCAGCTGAGGAGCAAAGGCCGGCTCCCGGGTCGCCTCCAACGGTCAGCTCATTGCCGCCAGACCTTTCAGACTACGAGTCTGACGAGCCGACGCGGCACCCTGAGCAAGTTCCCATTCCACCAGATGACGAGATGGGGGCTGGCGCGCCACCGGGGGGCGAAGATGGGCCAGATCCAACGCTGGAGGGGGGGGCGAAAACACCTGGCGACGATGTCGTCGAGTCTACTCAATCCCCAGACCAGATGGAAGTGGACGCGGCAACACAGGGGGCACCCTACACCGTCGACTACGAAGCGCCCGGTAATGAGGGTCAGGGCCGGAGAGTCCAGAGTCACGGTTACGACGCCCCTGCGGCGCACGCGGCGCAACAGCCAATGGCTGCCGGCCCGAAAACGAGCGACGACGGAAAGGCAAAGAAGCAGCACCGATGTGCCCTTGCTGACCCAACAGGCATCCACGGATATTGGAATGCCTTGGAATACTGTCATGAACGATTCAAATCGGAAGAAAGACCAGACCCGCGAATGATCATGACAATATTGCCAAACAACGTACCAAAGCCCGAATACCGCAATGCGGTCGAGTCTATTGGTAAAGCGCTCGCCTGTATCATTCGGCCTGAAGCGGTGACGTCATTCGCCAGGCTAAGTTTCCCGCAGGCTTGCGCTGCGCTGAGTAGTCTCATCAGGGCCGCGGGGATCTCATTTCGCATTTCAGGTGAGGCAATCTATCTCTATGCGGCCTTTGACTCTCCACACTCGACGTGGTGCAAGCCCATTCCGACCAGGACATGGCATCGTAAGATCGGAACCAGCCTGAGTGAGAGCGACCGGTTGTTCGGTGATGTGGCATATATGGTCTCTTCTGACTCTACAATATCGTTCGTCAACAATAACGGGAGCCCCGCGTTGCAAGCTGCTCTCCTGCAAGAGCTTCAGAACAGATCAACCGCCGCTAACGCAATGATCCAGAACGGAGCGACACTGGGCGACATTCGGGCCAACTTGCGTTCAATGAACTGGACCCCTCCACTGGGGAGCTGTAATACTCGCTGCCGCGTCATGATATGGAACGGCAATGATCTATGCGTTCGCGGTGAAGGCTCGCAGAGACGAGTCAAGGGGGCGAGAAGAGAAGGTACGCCCTCTGATCACGACGATGTCGAGAGAGACGCCCTGTCAATGATAGATGACGTCGTCGATGAACAGGCGTACATTGCAAACGCTACGGGCGAGATGCTAGTGTTCCTCGTCCTCGGCGATGGTGAAAGCTGGAACCAAGTCAAGACCAGCTCCGACTGCACCAAATGGGACACTCTTGCCTCTCGCGTCTTCGCATGGGGACATAATCGGATACACCTCTACCAAGCGGCCGGTTTTAACCCACAAATGCCCCTGCTCCGTGGCTCGGAACTGTACCATCGAGGAGAGCATCCTGAGCATGACAACTGGCATTGCATGCCCAGCGGTGACAACTACTCGTGCGCCACAGACTTCGCCAAGTACATTATTAACGCGGCAAAGGTCTGCTATGAACTTTGTTGCCCACCCTTCTATGTCGTTGAACGTCCTCATGGCGCCGGGGCTTCAGCCGCTTCGCCGCCGCCGCCAATGGCGCCTCCACCGCCGGCCAATGCGCCGATGCCGAAGCCTCCGGGCGTGGAAGGACCTATGATACATGATGCCATTTCTACTCGGGGCCGCTTCGCGAAATGCCAGGTGGGCGAAATATTCCCATTTGGCGATATTGGTGCTCCTCAGTACATGCCGCCTGATTCAGTCAATGTCAATTCCAAGGAATTCATATCATGGCTGGTGGAATACCATGACGGTAGACCGGCCTGGGCAGATAGGCGGTACACCACAGTACCGTTCCACGACAATGTCGACATCTACGGGATGGAGCCAGAAGCTGGATCTCACATGGAGGTACTGCCGACCGATGACACCATGGAAAAGGTGATAGCCGCGATCGAGAAAAGGGCGACAATGTTGTTCACGGCGCAATCGCGCAAGGTCGCACCGAGAGCCGACATGGCGAACGTGTCTGCCGCTGCAGCAGCGACGTCCGACGGTCCAGGCACTACCGGCAAGCCTCTGTGGGATGCAATCATCCAGAGCGTTCTGCAACATTCGACGATACACAACCAAAATGAACACATAGTCAGTGTCTTCGGGAAAGTTCGGTTGCAATGCCCTGACTTCTTTAACGCGTGCGAGGAGCATCAGAAGGCTGTGGTAGTCGGCATTAGAGACGGATCGGACACATTGCCAGCAAACGAGACGATACTCGGCAGTGATCAGGTCGTCGACTACGAGCTAATGCTCATCCCACGTGAGCCCGAGCAGAAGGAGGATGAATTCCACCTAGTCGAATCGTTCTATGACGCCGACGAGTGGTACACAACGGCGAAGGGACGGATCGCTGCTCGAGAGTGGGTGGCGAAAAAGATGCGTCTGGCACGGTCTCCGCGAATCACAGCAGAGTGCTGTAAAAGGAGAGCAATCGAATACCTGGTAGCGCGACGATTACACACGACCACTTTGCCAGACGTATGGTGTTCTTCGTTATTTGATTGGAGCATGACCAAGTACACAGAGAAGGATTCCTGCGCGGTGCTGGAGATCCCATTCCGGCTGCCTGATTGGGTCAATGATCTCATGGCAGCGGAACGGTGGGAATCCTGCTCGCACGCGACGGGCGTCTGCAAGCTCTATGCGATTCTAAACGCAGGCTTTTTCCTCCCTTCCAAGCTAAGGTGGGGCATGAGGGCAAAATCAGACAAGAAAGCAGAAGATAAAGCCCCCGCCGAGGGCGTATATGCTTTCCATGAAAGCGATACGGTTCACTACCTACACCAGGGCTACAGCCACGGTGCGGAGCACTGGGGCGATGGCAACATCGTTGCCGTGGACTTCAAGCTCGCTACCCCACCGGCTGCACGAGGAGGTTTCCGCCCAGTCGACACGGAATCAAAGGGGCGAAAGCAATTTGTGTGCAGCGCGCCAGAGCTGCTTGTCAAACAGTCGATGCGGCTGTATTTCATGACACCATGTCAGGCCAATCAGCAACAAGTATGGGTCTTCAACTCGGAGTATTCTCGCCAATTCGAGGTTCATTTCAAGGCGCTAGTAGATCCCACTCCCGTCTTGGACCGGGTGTAGCAATGTGGCAGATTGACAACATTATTCGAGACCGGCTAATAGCCGAGAAGCCCAACATACCCATAAACTTTGGAAACGTGGAAAGAAAAGTACGGAGTCTCTATCAATCGACAACGCAAAGAGAGATTGTCGACGAGCTCCGGGAGATTAGAAGAAAACGTGATGTTCCTAGATCCTGGAAGTTGGGAAGACAACTACCTGTATTCGGCGGAGCTTGTTACAGAACAGTTCGATAATCCGATCCTAGTGGCCGATGGCCAACTGGGCATCGTTGCGCCGCTCCAGCTGGCCGGCCTGCCGGAAGAACGCCCGAGCCTGAGGACAATGGAGGTGGATAAATCTACGCCAAGGGTTTCGGTTCGCGATTGGATGGCCTTCCGAAACAAGCAGAAGGACGAGGAAGCGCCGGGAGAGACCGAACGCCCAATTCCGGACAATGTCCCTGGCAGAATCGAGCCCCATGGGCAAAGAAGGACGATGGGCCTCGTTAGACGGGGAGGCCGCCAGTCCATGATACAGGAAGCGGCAACGGCGTGGCGGGAGGCGCAATCGTGCGGGCGGCGTTCAGTCTGGGGTCATTTCGGGCACGCTGGTTTTAAGCGGTCATACACAGCTGATCGCAAACCGCCGCGCTTCGAAAACCCCCACGGGGCGCCCCTCGCGCAGCCCAGAGATCCACGGATCGGGGCCCCTGAACACCAGCCTCCGACAATGTCGCAGAGCGAGCTCGACCGAATGAGAAGCGTCTATGTAAATGCTTCTCCTGCCGCATCCCGCATCGAACATATATACATATGCTCGAACATCGGCTGCTTCAGAACGACCAGGTTGGCCGTATCCGAGATTGCGAGGCTGTGCCTGGTACGAAGATGCTGCAGATGTATGAGTTTGCCCGCAACAGCCGTGCATCTGGATCGGTGCACACCCAGACGTCGGATGTATAGCAGATGGGCGGATGCCCATTTCAAGAGGGCCAACCCCGAGATCATGGAGCATGAAAAGATAGAGTGCGAAAAGTGGTGCGAGAAAGCGATCCAGGCCGTGAATCTCGATGAGTCATCTGGTGAGTCTTCGTCTGAACATGAAGACGAGATGGAGCTGGACTTTGCGGCGGACCAAGAAGGACATATCGACGATGTCGATGATGGATCTGATAGGGAGGAAGAAAGCGTGGAAGCGACGGGACAGGCAATCGTCGCCGCTTTCCACATCGACCCGCAGACTCGTCCATGCGCTCCAGACGCCGGGACGCCATTCGGGAAGTACTATTTCCTCATAGACGGCATTTTACCGCTTCCCAAGGAGAAGCAAATTCCAGAGGAAGATCTTACGACATTGTGGCCGCCGCATGAGGACCTAGATAGGCTAACTCAGATCGGACTCGAACACGAGGAGCTGACCTACGAGGGATTGCTCGCCGGGGGCGAACGAGTTCCCCTGCTTGCGTCACCAGAATACAGGCGGGAGAACATATCTGCATTGACCCCGGCAAAGGCACGTCTGATTGACGAACTCCACAACAATGGGCTGGTGCTCCCTAGCCAACGGCTGGTTCGGGCGATCATCAGTGACCGGCTCTCCGCCTATGCGGACTTCGTGGCGGACCCACTGTTTGACTACATCAGGCACCTGCCAGAGGGTGAGCGTACCAGGGTGAATAAATACTTGCGCGCTCGATACAACGCGATTGAGAGCCGCAGTTTGCCCGGATCGGACAATGCTCTGGTGCCGATGTACCCGCACCTACGCCCGAAGCTATATGCTACCGCGAGCGGGCTGGGTCGTGGCGAAGCATTCCGCCTTGCAAAGCTCATCCTCCACCTCCTCCGTCACAGTTCGGCCCATGTGCTGAGTTCGGGAGGCTGGGTGGAGGTGGACGTTTTGATAAACGTGCTTGCCGATGCCGGCTATGACCGCCCGTGAGCCAGATTTATGCACGCCATCGCCATGCCCCCCCCGCAAGACGCGCCAATGTTGGGAGTGGAGATGAATGCGGCCCGCGAAGGCCCTACTTCCCGTTTAATGGACTGGGACTCGACCTTCTTTGAAGTCATCAAGCAAGGAGTTGGAGCCTCCGAAGTCGACGGAGATACCGACTCGTCTCAGGGAAGCGATGCAGAGATTCTATGCGTGATTCCAACGACACGACCTCTTCTCATCAGGGCCGTTCACGGTGATTCACTAAGGATCATTAGCCTGTATCGCAGAAACGTCAGATATGATCCTGGCACGAGCGAGAAGCACGGTGCGTTGCTCATACCCTTGACAGAAGCTGATGTTCGACATAGCCAGGAAGGGAGAGCGGCACCATTCTATGATGGGACGACGGTATCAGGCAATATGGCACTGTGGCATACACCGTGGCAATATCCCCAAACGCGCATGAGATCCATGATCTTGAAGCGCTGACGGCAGAGGAGGTACACGCCCCATCCAGCTTCTCGGAAGCCAGACAATTGGTAGAGAGAGAGAGAGAGAGAGAGAGACGATGAACGGATCCGCCTGGGAAGCGACAACAGGTTCCCGACTTTCCTTCATCAAGATGGGGTTTCCAAAGACCTCTTAGGGCGGACTAATCGATCAGTATTTGACGTACACCTGAATGACTTCAACGGCATATATTTTGCCACCATGAGTGCGCGACACCTAGAGGCACATCAGCACTGGATCCTGCCAACGGGCCAAATATTTACGGACAGTGTCCTGTTATGGGGTAACATTTGGCAGATTTTTGCTTTTCCCGAGTCGCCAGGCAACAAGCTGTCATGGTACGTCAACTATGATAGACGTCTGACCATGGTTCAAGTCATAACCCGAGCCAGGACCGGGTGCGTTGACGTCCTGGAACGAAAACAGCAGATCCGGGCTGGACACAATGTTGATCATATCGACGCCGAACTCTGTGCGGAAGTCCAGCAACAACCAGGCTGGGAAGACGATGTGTGTCTCGTGTGCCATATGGTACACAAACCAAGATACGGCATGATAGGCTGTGCCGTATGCCGGGAAGGAGTCATATATGAGGCATCAATGATACGAGGGAACAAAATGAAGCCAGCGGTTGACTGGAGGGCCGCAGGTTCCTCAGAGACCGAGGGCACCCAAGCCCGTACCATGTACGTAATGACGTCCGGACAATGTCGAGGGCAGCAGTGGTTAAGAATCCTGATCGCACACAAGCACGGTACCGCGAAGGCTGGAGAAAGGATACCTACGACGGAGCCCTTGTGCGTTACTATGGCGGGCAAGACAGCAACCCTTTCTGCCGAAAGATCTGTGTTCGCCTGGATTCCGGCCTCGCCAAATGACAAGCGTCCTGCCCATGGCAACAAGGCGCGAGAGGTCAAGGCGCGCAAGCTGGCCCACCGATGGATGTCGCATCAGGTGTACCACAACCACCGGCCAGCAGGCAAAAATGCTGTCTGCCCGCCATGGAAGTGGTGGGCATATTTGTCCCGGCGTATAGATAAGACGGACTATGGTGCGGATATGGGAATATTGAACATCTTCGACTGGGACACAATAGGCCCCGATGCCATTGATCTCGTTGAACCCACCAGTGGATGGCATCGATGGTGTCATGCTAATCGAGCTAACCTTCCAGAGGGTCTCGATAGGTTTTGGAATTCGATAGAAGATGAAATCGAGGAATACTGGAGGCCCAGAGAAGAATGGGCCGCCCCAGAGGAAGGTGGGAACGGGGCAGAGCACGATCAAGAAGCGCGTGTACCCCGTGCCCCCTCCAATCGGCCGCTATCGCGTGCCCGTGGCAGGCGTGCCCGCTCCACCAGCCAGCGGAGGATTCGGTCCACAGATGCGCCGATGGCGTTCAGAGGCCGCGCAATGCGCAGGCGGACGGGCTCGCGCATCCCAAGCAGGGGCCAGGGCACATATCAAGATGACGTGACAAGCATAATCAACCAGTACCGCATCCAGCAGGCAGCCTACGAACTGGTGACGTTCTGCACTACGGTTAACGTCTCCTCCACGCATCACAGAGCGAATACTTACGCTTCATGTGAAGAGCAGTTACGCACAATATGGAGCGACCCGCCAGGGCTTTGCGCTTACAATCCAGACCTAGTAGAAGCAAGATAGACATGGCTGGCCAAGCAAGCCTACAGGGCTACCGTCGAAGTGTCGAAGACCTACACGTGGACACCGGTCGATATGGAACATGCGAGCGAGGACGCCAAGCGCATCCATCTTGCTGAAGTGGGCAAATTCCGTGAGACGCCGTCCCGGGAGCTCAACTTTGTTAAGTCGCACCATGCGCTGGTCGAGCTAGTTCGCAAATTTATCTACAAGAACTGGCAATGCTTACCGCGCATTACTGAGGACGCGCCCAACATCGCGGCGTGCATGCAGTATGTGCTACAGTCTCAGTCAACCGCTCAACTTCGAGGTCAACAGCTAACGGTCGATGCTCTCAGGCATTCGGCAGCTGAAAAGTGGGCGTTGCACGTATATGAGGCTGCTGTGTACGCTCTGCAGGCGTGGACGCAGCACGGAGTGCCGCCGCCCCCTGACTCGGATGACGAGCGTCGCCCCTCGCGTGTGCCAATGGCACGAGGGGCGCGGAATCGCCAGCCCGCTGCGACCACCGCGCGGGCTGCGCGGTCCATCAGCCGAATGCGGCCGCATAGTCCCTCGCCTGCACCAGCGGCCAGGGTGGCGGCGTACGAAGCGGCTGCGCTTCCGCAGGCCAAGGGTGGAACGGGCAGCGCGTCAAGTGGCGCTGCCCCGCCGCCTCCAAAGGCCGCGGGAAAAGGCAAGGGCGGCAAGCGACCGAGAGAGACGGGGAGTAGCCGCACGGCCTTCCCGCCTGCGGTCCGCCAATGCCGATTTACAGACTTCCGCCAAACCGAGTCTGGTGCCGCTGCGTCGTCGTCCTCCCAGCAAATTCCCGAGGCTGCCCGTCGCCCATTGACTAGGGGGCAAAACTGACCCCCTGTTGAACGCGCCTGGAGTGCGTGGAGGGGTACCCCCAGCCGAAGCTGGAGCACAGGGCCGGGAAAAGATCGCGGGAAGGGCGACTACAGCAACTGGTCTGACCGGCGCAATGACGACCGTGACCAGTGGCGCCGTGACGGCGGATGGCGCTGGTGAGCAACAGACGCCTAATGCCAATGGCAGTGCAGCAACAGCGCAGCAACAGCTGTGCCAGTGCAAGCGCGCGCTTTCGGCCAATGGCCGCACAGTGTGATGCAACTCGCATATGGGGTGGCTTGAGGCTGTGGGAGCTTCGCCCCTCATCAATACATGATATCATCGGCCAATGGCCGGAGGATTAATACCACTTGACCGGCGGGCTGCTGGCGGCTGTGAGAGCCTCGCGCCCGCACTCACTGTAATTCGACGCCGTCGGGAACGAAGAGTCCCGATGGTAAGACGTCGGCCCTGGCCGACGCTGCGGCCGGGCCGCCGCGGGGGGAGTCGTTACTATACGCTCCCTGCCGCCGTCGATGTACATATAACCACACACGCAGACACATAGTTGGCCGTCTGCAGCTATTGTGGTTCGGAGAGTAAAAAGGCACGCGCCCGCCCCGCGCGCGGGTGCTCATATTATCACACTTTTCTTACCCTACGCTTCACGGGATACTTCATTGCTTTACAGCCCGCGATGTCCGTAGACCCGCTAACATGGACCCCAACAGTGAGGACTACCTTACTCGACGATATTGGCCCGTTTGGGCCTAAGTTGGGTAAATATGGGAGGAAAAGGAGGAGGAGCAGGGGGGAGAAGGAGGAGGAGGAGGAGGAACAGGAGGAGGATGAGGAGGAGGATGAATCCGTTTCCCACTACTGCGCGCCGTGCTGAATATTGTTTGACGGTTATTTCTCTCATCGGACAATGCCTCGAGTGTCCGAGCAGTGAGAATTTTAGTGCAATGAGTTTCAGAGCAATGATCCTTTGAGAGTTTCAAAGCAATGCGCCTTTGACGAAGTTCTCGAACAATGAGTTTCAGAGCAGTGAGTTTCATATCAATGAGTTTCAAATCGATTGGCTTCATGGCAATGTGCTGCAAAGCAATCAGTTTCAGAGCGATGGGTTTCAGAGCACTGGGTTTCAGAGCAGTGAGCGTTTCAGAGTGGTGGGTTTCAGAGCATTCAGCTTTTGAGAGTTTCAGTGCATCCTCCTTCTCCTCCTCCTCCGCCTCCTCCTCCTCCTTCTCCCCCTCCTCCTCCTCCTCCTCCTCCTCCTCCTCCTCCTCCTGTTACTCCTTGTCGTCGTCGTCGGCGTTGTCGTCGGCGGCGGTGGCGGTAACAAATGATTAGGTTTCGTTGGTGTCGGGGCCCCAGTGCGTCAATAAGGTCGCCAACATATATCCAGTTTCCCACAGTGGTGGGTTTTTTTAGATGGGTTGTCGGGCTTACTTGGGCCCCATGTGGGAGGTCTCTGGGAAAAGGAGGAAGGTTGGAGCGCTGGTGCTGGCAAGGCTTGTAGCCCACTCGGTGGCCAAGGTTTTGCCACGCCGAACGGTCTGACCTCCAGCAGGCAAGGGGGCGCTTGGGGTTGCGGCAGTCGGCAGTACAGAACGGTGGCTGCTTGGTCCCTAGTGTGAGACATGTATTCCTCCCATGAACTATCCCTTCAAAGTTAGACCGTGGGTTGGAGCAGGGCCGAGGACGGTCTATGCAATGCGGCTGGACTTGTCGGTCGTTTCTGCATCAGGTTGCGGTGCTCCTTCCGATCGCGATCTGCTGCCGGGCGCTCGGCGCAATGCCTGCTTTGCTGGCGTGCCGACGGCGAGCCAGCAGACTATCTCGATTATGATGATAATGATAATGATAATGATACTGATGCTGATGCTGATGCTGATGCTGATGCTGATGCTGATGCTGATGCTGATGATGATGATGATGATGATGATGATGATGATGATGACGCCGACGAAAACGGCGGTGGCGGGGGTTCCACACGCGCGGTGGGGCCGCATCGGTCGGGCTGCGCACAGGAAGGGCATCTCCCCACCCTCCTCGTGTCGGGCGGGGACTCTTTTTTGATCTCAGCGCTTGTTGCTCTTTCTCCTCCTTCGGCCTTCTTCCCCTCAGTCCTCTCCCTCCTCTCCTCTCCTCTCCTCTCCTCTCCTCTCCTCTCCTCTCCTCTCCTCTCCTCTCCTCTCCTCTCCGCTCCTCTCTCCTCTCCTGTCCTCTCCTCGCCTGTCCTCTCCTCTCTAAATTTCTCCATTGCTCTCGTCTCCTAGCCGTTGTTTTGTCTCCTCTGCCCTTTTCTCCACGTCTCTGGCCTTGTTTTGTGTGTTCTTCTCTTCTATTTTCTCCTCCGTCCACCCCTGCAGCTGCCTGCTCTTGTGGTGGGCCCTCCTCGAAGCTTTCAGCCGCTCCTGAGAGGTGCCAAGCATGCAACGGTCGCCACGTTCCTGCGCCTCTGTAGAATCCAGCTGGTTGCCGCGACACACGGACCCAACTATCCTGGGTGTTACCATTTTTGAAGTTGTTGCCTTCGTGCCCTGCAGGCAGGCATGAAACCAATCCTTGTGCTGATGCCTGGCATATCTAGCATACTCATCATATTCAGCAGAACATGTACAGCTAGGTACAACCCCACATTGTCTGCGACAGATGGGGGACAGGATGCGCTTTCATTTTTTGGGTCCCTCCAGTGGCAAGTTGGAGGCATCGCAGGGGTCAGAATGCGTCGCGTCGCGCTGGAAGGAGTCGTGGTGCTCATTGCCAAACTTACCAAGCAAGTTGCCATTTTCGATTTGCCCCTGCATTCATTAGGCGGGTGTAAGTCCGCGGTCGGGCGCCCTGGGCTCACAGCGGGGCAGCTCGGACGCCTGCCGTGGTGTACAACTCCTCACGGTGCTGTGGTAAGGCCCCAGGGCAATCCTTTGGGGAAGCCTGAGCACGCCCGTAACAGTTTTCGGGTAAGCCCCCTTCAGCCAGACAGCCACTCAATAGAAGATCCGGCCGAGTGCCTTCATTATCAAAGTCAGAAGAGGTAGGGCCGCCCGCGGCCCCCCCCTGGCCAGTCCGAAAGAGCTATGAGAATTGTAAGTCCGCGGACGTGCAGAATCGTAAGGCGCCCGCGCTTCTAGGATTGTCCTTCGTCGTCGCCGTCGCCACCGTCGTCACCGGTGTCGTCGTCGTCGTCGTCGTCGCCGACGTCGGTGCTGTCGGTGCTGTCATCGCTGTCGTCGCTGCCGCCGTCGCCGTCGCGGTCGCCGTCGCCGTCCTTGCCTTCGAGATCTCGCCTCCTTCGCCGTCGCCGCCGTCGAGGTCGCAGCGACAGTCGCACTTGTCGCCTTCGTCGTCGTCGTCGTTGTCGTCGTCGGCGTCGCCGTCGTCGTCGCCTTCGTTGTCGTTGTCGTCGTCCTTCTTGTCGTCGTCAAGGGCGCCGGTGCCGCAGTTGCCGCCGTCGTCGTTTGCTCTGGCCTTCTTGCTTTGTGTTTCATGGAAGCCAAATCGAAAGTGGAGATCAACCAGTAGAACATTGTATCGTTCTCTTGCACCTGGTCTTTTTCATTCCTATTCTTAGTGAGCGCTGGTGTGTATAATTGTTTCACGTGCACAGGTGAGGCGTTCCAAAAATGGCCTTGCCTTCGAGAGTCGAATGAGTTGTCATCTCTTCCCCGGTGGAAGGCGGCGGAAGGGCAGCGGGAGGTCGGCGGAAGTAAAGCGAGGCCGCCTCCGCCGGCGGAAGCCGGCGGAAGGGCGGCGGATGTTGGCGGAGGTACAACATGCCCCCCCAAGAGATGACCAGGTTTGTGGCTTCAGGATTTCCGGAATCTGGCATGTGGTGTACAAGTCTCCCTTCCAGGTTCTGCGCCTGGCGCACTTCCCATTTGGCGGCCCCCCATGCGTGGCCATACTTGCTCTGTGCAGCAGCTGGTTGTATCACTGGGCGCCTCAGAGCTGGCCATTTGGGATTTCTTTCACGTGGCATCATTGTCACTGATGGCTTTATCCTTGGGTCGCGTCCCAGCGTAACCCGACTGCAACTCGGACTCGAGACGCCGCCGATCAGTTTTTGTTTGTTTGGGACATATGGACCAGACTCAATGTGATCAGTCACCGTCTGGCTGACAAGCTCGAATTTGTATACGTGATACTTGCACGACACCTTGGAGGCAGCCCACTCTACTGCAGTGCTGGCGCTCCACATGAGCAACATCCTCCGCACCGACCTCGCGCAGTTCCTCTGCGTGGCGACAGTCTCCGACACATTGCATTTGCAGGCACAGCTGTGCGGAGCTCAGGACGCCATCGAGCAGCTTCAGGCAGCTGCCGTCCTCGCACTTGGTGACATGGGCCCCGAGCAACCTTGGCCAAATGCAGAAGGTGGCACTCGCGTGGCGCAGCACGACAGGCGGGAGGCAAGCACTCGAGCAGCTTTCTCTCATCGCGCCCCTCCGGATCCCGCCGGGCTGCCAGACCGCCATCCAGGTCGACGATTTGTGGGACCGCCCCCTGCTACATCCCAACTGGCGAGATGTGGTCAAGGAAATTCGATACCTCACGCCACTCGTGTCGGTTGTCACTACCGGCAGAACAGCCCCAGTGCACCAGCAGCGGCACATCGCTATCATTATTTCGGGGCCCCAGCGCAGCCTCTGCTGGAACAGTGGCGTCCAACCCTAAATGAGCACCAGTCGCAGATGACACTGCACATCGACGTCCCAGAGGGCCACCGTTGGAAGGTGTTCTATATTTTGCGCGACAGTCGTTTTCCTGACCTGGCTTCGGTCGACCACCCGATCCCCAGCCCACAGGATCCTCGAAGGAGGGCCCGCGCTCGCAGCTCCAGATTCACATCGACGGTGTCGGCATCCAGCGCCTGGGACTAGAATCCATCCACCATTGGGTTACGACGCAGCAGCAGCCCTTCTCCCTGGTGGTCGGGTGGTGCGAGCTCGTCCGGGACTCCGCGGCGATGCTTCTCGATGCTACGTCCCCGACGGCTGCCCTCCACTACTGGGAGCTCTACAAGGACGTGTTGGTGTTGTCGGCGAAGGTGCTCGTGATTTCCACGTGGGCGGATAGCGCCGTGTGGGGCCACCATCTGACCGGGATTTGGCGGAGCGACCCAATGTGCACCTGCGAGCGCATCCGACACCGACGGTCACGGGACGGCCTTGCGACATACGCGCAGATCGCAGCCACGGCCTCGCAGCTCAGCGCAGCCAGGGCGCGCGGTGGCCATGCAGCTGTCGCAGGGGACCCAGCGAAACCCATGACGTTGCAGGCAACGGTCCACATCCCACTGGGTACGACTGGCCCTCTGGAGGACTGGCTTCCGGCAGCTCTGAGTCGGGCCACGGCGCAACAGGGGCTACCCACATTACGGCGTGCTGGCGACGACGCTGGCCTCAGGATGCACGAGTGGCGCCCGCTCCGCGATGTTGAAGGCCGGTGGATGGGGAATGTCGTGGTGCAGCTCGCCACCGAAGCTGAAATCAGACACTCCATGGGACTATGCATGGAATGCGCCTGGCCGTCAACGGTCACGACGCTTCCGTCGAGGTGCGCTCGCATCACTTGGACCTGGACACGGGCGGGAGGCAGCGTCCGCGAGGTGGGAATTGACTAGGCCCCGAAGGTAACCCCAGGTCGCCGTCGCAGGGTGGCCACGTCCTCCTAATTCATGTTCGCAGCGCCGGGCGCCGGGAAGAATTCGAAGCAGTATCAGGTTCCGTTACTTCTCGTTGCACCTCCACTCCCACACGCTCCACCAGACGCTCCCGACAGCCACGTCCTGCAGACCAGGTTGGTCTCGACCCTCCTTTGGGCGCAGCAGGACAGGGACGGGATCGCCATGCTAATGATCAGGTCGCCCACTCGCGGGAGACCCGCTCCGCTACAGTACTGTCTGCCATGCCACCGACAGCAGCGCCGCCGCAGCGAGCAGCCCCGCAGATCCCAGCAAGACGGGATCCGGCAACACTGGCGACGGCCCCCACGCATTCCACACCACCACAGATTCTGGCACCAGAGGATCTCGTATTTCCCTGGCAGCAACACCAACGCATCAGGCAGCACCTCATCCAGCAGGACGCGCACTTGAAGCATCGGGGGCAGCAGAACCAACGCATCCAGCACCAACGCAGCTCCCCTCGCGTCGGGGCACGGGAGTGCCCCCAGCTAGCATCGCCACCACATCCAGCAGCACCACAGTCTCCAGCTCGACGGGAATTCACTCACAGCACCAATGGGAGCGCCAACAGCACATCCAACAGACCCGAAGCGCTTAGCATCAGTGGAACGAGCAAGACCACCGGCGGCAGCATCGTCGCAGTCGGCAGCTTCACATATTCCGGCTGATGGGCGTCCAGCGGGACGGCATGCAGGCTGCCTAGCCCACCCCAGGGCACCATTGTACCTGAAACGCCGAAGATTGGCCGCGCCGCCGGCAGCAGGCCCAGCGAGCCAGTCAGCCCAGCATGGCCCAGCATGACGGGAGCCGACAGATGCGTTGGCAACAGCATTAACGCATCCAGCGGCGCCGCACGTTCCAGCACGACGGGCCTCGGCGGCGCCTTCGGCGCCAGCGCACCCAGCACCGCCACGCCCTCAGCAGGAATATCCGCATCTAAGCCCCAGCACCACCGCCTGCATCCCGAACCACCACCACCACCGAGGTCGACATCACCTACGGCAGATGCACTTTCTTCGAGGCCTCCATCTTCGCCCTCGTCACGACGTCCGACCCGTTCCGCTCCGCGTACTTGGGCACACAACGCCCTCCCACTACCCCTTCGCAGGTCGACGAACGACACGATGCCCCCATCGGTGCCCACTTCTACCCCCCCTCGCCCCCGCTACGTTGCATCCGGGGCACCACATTAGCCTGGTGTTTTGGACAGCTTGGCAAAACCTCTGCGTGCAGTGGCACTTGTGCAACCTGCAGCACAGCAGCTTGAAGCTCGACGAGAGCCAGTACCGTCGGCAGCAGCATCATCACTTCAGCAGCACTGCAGCGTCCAGCAAGTCGGGATCCAGCAGCACCATCGGCAGCAGGTCCAGCACATCCAGGAACCCCTTGGTTTCCAGCACAATGGGGATCGGCAGTATTGTCCGCAGCAGCTCAATCAGCAGCAGCTTCAGTGCAACCAGCCGCACTCCAGTTTCCAGCCCGACGGGAACCAGCACTGCCATCGACATCAGGGCGAGCCCTCCCAGCAGCCCCACAGGGGCCAGCACGACGGGACCCAGCCATCCCATCGGCAGCAGCGACCGCACACCCAGCACACCTCCCGTTTCCTGAGCGACGGGAGCCAGCATCAGCCGCAGCACCAGCATACCCATCAACGCCGCAGAATCTACGGTGGGACCCAGACGTCCCATCGGTAGCAGCATCAGCACATCCAGCCGCTTCACAGAGTCCAGCACGGTGGGACCTCTCAGCACCATCGACGGCGGCTGCACCAGCACATCCAGCGGCAACTCAGTCTCCAGCGCGGGAGCCATCCATACTGGCACCATCGACAGCAGCATCAGCACCAGCACAACCAGCAACACCTCAGGGCCCACGATCCAGCCTGACAGCACCATCGGCAGCTGCATCCATCGCAGCATCAGTATATCCAGCGGCCCTGCAGAGTCAAGCACAACGGGCCTTGGCAATACCATCAGCAGCATCAGCACACCCAGCGGCATCTCAGACTTCCGCACGACGGGAGACAGCAGTACCATCGGCAACAGCAGCACTGGCACGTCTAGCGGCACCTCAGAGTCCATCACGTGGGAATCCAGCAGCACCATCGGCAGCAGCAGCAGCAGCACTCCCAACAGCTCCACAAAGCCCAGCACGACAGGATCGCGCAGCACCGTCGGTAGCTGCAGTCGCTGTGCATCCAGTTCCACGGGAGCCAGCAGAACCAGCACCAGAACAGGCGCCCAGTGCATTCGCGCGCCGCGACTTTCCTCCCATGCTTGGGTCATACTTTGGGGGATTATGCTGGTGTGTGCTGGAACTCCCAGGCTTACTTCGCATCGAATCCATCCCTACAGGACGACAAGCAAACGTGCGCCCAGAGCATCTTCCACAATGCTGACTTTATGGGGATTTCGGAGACGCATGGTACGGATGGCACGGAGCTCGGCGCTCGCCTCGTCCCTGGCTGTCGCCCTTTCTGGTCTCACGGCACGCGCTCACAGGCCGGGGTATGGCTTTTCGTGAAGAGCAGCTTCCTGATGAAGTTCAACCCCGTGCGGCCAGAGGATTGGGTGCCCTTGGAGGCTGGACGGGCTGCTAAGCTATTCCTGCGGGGGCCGTCGGGCGCACTGGATATCATTGTGGTGTATCTTACTTCGGGCTCCGACCAGACCATCCGCGCAACTCGACGAGCTACGATGACTTCGATCGCCCAGCACGTGGCTCCTCGGGAGCAGGTGCTGATTGTGATGTTAGTGGATTTCAATTTCGTAGTGGACCGTCGGGACCGCTGGTCGAAGTCGGATGGCTCCTGGTCTGGAGATTCCGACGCCAGAGACGCCCGAGCTTTCGAGATTCTGTTCTCCACGCTTTTCGGTTTCCACGAGCTGCGCCAGCCGCTCGTTACCCACGAATGTGGAGTGGCGAAATCTCGCTTGGACCGAGCCTGTGCCAACAATTCACTCGCCGACCAATTGGACCGCTGTTACAAGTCATGTTTTCGTCTTCGACAATAGAGCGAAGTGTCAGACCCTGCCAAGTCTTCGTAATCTCATCCGCGCCAGCGTGTCAAAAAAGTTCACTCGAGGCTCGACCGTTGAATCCTTCTGCGCGTGTTGTTTTTCGTTCCCCAGCACGATCTGTGATGTCAGCAATGTGATTGTTAAAACAACGTGGACCCCAGACTTTTTCGACCCCTCTCCATATTATCGTTTTTCCTCGCATCGCATCGCCAGCGGCACGAGAGCTGTCTGAACTATCGCGGGGCGCCTTTACTCCTTGTGGCAAGCATGTGGACGGGTGCCGTTGAAAGCTGTGACCGAAAAACGTTTGGTTTAATCTAGGCTTCCCAGATGTGGGGTCCAACCAGATGGGGTCGGAGGATCGTGCCGCATCGCCGACGCATCGCCGATGCGGCTCCATGTGGGGCCCGATGTTTTACGCGCCGGCGTCGCCGATGCAGCGCCGACGTCGCCAATGCATCGCCGATGCATCGCCGATACATTGCTGATACATCGGCGATGCGGTGCAATGCGCGGACCCCACCAAATCGGATTTCATCCAGTAGGCTTCTATTTAATCAAAATTGAATCGATGAGTTGACGCTTTGGCCGAGGGTCTCTGCAGAAACTTTCAGCATGCCGCGTGGCCAGCGCCCTCGTCCCCCGAGCGGCTCGCGGCCTGCTTCGGTGGGCCAGGGCCTCAAGCTTGGTATCGCTCGGATGTGTTCATTTCATCTCGGCGAAAACCATCGAGGAACATCTTGGCTCATCTGGCGAAAAAATAAACACACGAACTCGAACAATGCACGGGGAATGGACGTCCAAGCCATGGCGAGCAAGACATCCCCAACCATCATTTTAACAAATGACCTCCGCCCAGCCATGGCGGTAAACTCGAAGCCCTTCCCCCCTGCCGCCTCCAGGGCAAGCTCAACCAGGTGGACAATCCCGAACAGTTTTTTCCCACGGCCCAGGGGCCCGAAAGGGGCACCCACATGCCGCATTTTGCCAAGAGCCTTGCGTCTTCTTTTCTTTTTGTCGCGAGGGGGGGGCGCGGATGTTTCCTCAGCCTGCAACCCTTGGCGCCTCGAGGAGTCGCTGGACGACGAGAACGACGAGGAGATCAGCCGAGCCGACTCGGAGGCGCTCCTCGAGATTGCCGCCTGGCGGCCGCGGACCCTCGGCGACGAGGAGGACGTGAGCGGCGCGCGGCTCAGGATCCGCCCGACTCGTGCCAGCGCTCGTGTTGGTGAAGGTTCGGGGCTCACCCCCTACACCGATCAGACATCTGCAGGAAAAGCCTAGAATTTTGGACTCCAGACTTAGCTCGAGAAAATCAAGCATCGGGACTGGACCCTGGGCGTTCTCTTGGAGCTCCTTTCCTTCGTAGATTGCTCGTATACGTGCGAGGCGAAGCACTTAAACTTATACAAACTTGTTGACGCTTCGCGAACCCCCACCAGCCCATCCAGAAACGATGCCCAGAGGAATCGCCTCGATCAGGGAAGTGGGCAGCACACAGAGGAAGCCATTATGAGACATCTTGGGATTTCTTGAGCCATCTTGGAGGTCATCTTGGGCTGTCCCAGGCGCTTTTGGAGTCATCTTAATCAGTGCCCCCCCCAAAGAGGCCAACATGTGGCTAAAACCTTAGTGAAATCAATGATTTGGCATTCTCGCCGAGGCCTCTTGGAGCATCTTGGGTGCCTCTGGGGGGTCTCTTGGGGCCTCTTGGGGGTCTCTTGGGGGCCTCCGGGGGTCCTGTTGGGGGCCTCTTGGGGCCATCTTGGGGCCATCTTGGGACCTCTTGGGGCCTCCTGGGCGCTTCTTGGGGCCATCTTGGGGAGATCGATCAAACAAGAGGGGAGCGTTAATTAGCGTCCCCCCCCCCAGGAGGCCAACATGGGGCCAAAACCATAGTAAAACCAATGATTTTGGCTTCCTCGCCGAGGCCGTTTTGGACGCTCCGACGACTCGCGAAACCCCCTGTCCAGGTCCATGGGGAGGGGGTAGGGGGAGGGGTAAACCCTTCTTCTAAGGGGAAGACGGAGGGGTGGAAGAGGAAACTCCCTAAACCACCGACGCCCAGAGGGCTGGTGGGATTTAGTGCTTCGCCTTGCCGTTTTGCAGCCTGTTTCAATGGAGGTGCAGTCTTTCGTTGGAAAACATGCTCGTATGCGTGCGCCTGGACTAACTAGTTAAGAATATGCTTCGAGCGAAACCCATTCTGTTAGCCTGAAACTCTCTTAGGGTGTACCATCTCATGGCAGAAAAGTCCCCGAGAGGCTCTTCCAAGGAGGTGGTTGTCCGGTGGCGTTGTCTGGGTCCCCGCAGGGTGGTCCGAGGGGTTGTTTCCGGGGCAGGTCGTCATGTCGTCCCAGATCAGCACGGGTTGTTCAGGTTGTTTGGGAGGTTTCGGACTGTGCTAGGACGGGGATCATCCGTTCCAGAGCGATCTGGAACTCTCTCAGAGCGTTGCGGCACGCTCTGAGAAGGCCGCGGCGCCCGAGGCATCCTCCAAAGCCGCCGCATCTCAGAGATTCTCGATTCATCCTCACCCGATTCTATCCTCGTCCTGGCTTCGTCTTAGGGTTGTCTGGGGAGCCTTTCGGATTGGAGTATGGTTCCACTGCACATGGTGCCTCGGGCCCTGTAAGAAAAAAAGAGCCTCGCCTTCGGCGCGCCTCGCCCTCGGCGGAAGCAGGCGGAAGAGAGTCTGTGGCGGGTCCTCCGGCGAAAGCTGGAGGGAGGTCGGCGGAAGGCGGCGGAAATATAGGAGGGGAGAAACGACACAGGCACAAATATGCGTCGATTCCCAGGAACATCTGGGAAAACATGGGAAGTGGAGGGGAAGACGAAAGTCCAGAAGATATGTGGCAGTATGGGGAATCCTGGGATTAGTGTCTATTTATTTGTGTGTTCCTGGGTCTCTTCAGAAGTATATGCGAGACGCTGGCATTCTTTGATCCAAGGTTTCTGGAATAGTTTTCTCTTCGGCGTCTCTCGCGCTTGCTGCTGCTGATGCTTCTTTTGCTATGTTTTCTCCTCCCATGGCGTCCCTGGGCTTCGGTGCTCTCCGTGGGAGCGCTGTCCGGTCCTCTGCCCACCTGCCTTCTTCCCACCAGCCTGCCCAGGTCGCGCTTTTTCCCCCCCTGCCGTTGGCCTTTGGTCGGACTCACACCCGCGGCACTTCGGCCCTCTCTGGGTCATCTGAGAGAGTGTGCGTGCTTCTCTTCGAGGCTTGTTTTTGTCGCGGGCGGGCGCCTCTGGCACCACGGGTGGCCGCGACTCGATGACAGCGCTGATAGGTCATGCTTGTTCAGGGAGGATGCTGGAACCGACATTTCCAATTGTCTGGCCCGTGGAACTGGCGATAGTGCTGTTTTCGATCAGCGTGTCAAGCGGGGCGATCAGCATTTTTTTTGGTGACGACCGCTTGCGTATGACATATGACTGCTCGTGGATATTCCTCCGTTCTTGAACCGATCGTGTTCGTGTTCGATTGGGAACAGTCTCCGTGCACGCCTTAGTGTTCTGAGGCGTGCAGGTTCAAGTGCCCTACTACATCGAGGCGATAGACCGAAGGCGACTCTTTGCTCAGACAACATTGGTACAGAGCAGCACAGCCCATGAAGCCACACTCCTTCTCGATCGTTCTTCCGTTGGGCCGTGCAGTCTTCAAGCACATCATCGAGTGCTGAGCTTCATAGTATGATTGGCATAGACGTCCTGGTGAGAAGGGGGCTGCTGAGAGATTTGTGGTGAGTATCAGAATGCAGAGATGCCACAACTAAGGATGCCACCAGAAACCAAGGATGCCATTCGAGCGCCCGGGCGGATCATCACCTAAGCACCAGGACTTTCTGATTGGCTGACGCCGCAAACCTGTTACTGAAGCTATCACTTCTCGTGCGTTGCTCTGTTTAGCTGGGCAGCACATTGCCAGAATCAGGAGGCTCCAGACTCTGGCGGAATGCCGCATGGACAGTTGTCAAGCGAGCCTTTAGGGCTCTGTCATCCATTGAGACTTGCGACACAGGGCAGGAACGCGGCGTGCAGAGGGCCCCCACAACCCTGTCACTGCGCTTCGCGCTCGGCGTGGCCCGTCGGGAACGGCCCCCGCGCCTGCGACCGCTGGCGCTACCGATTGAACAAAGCGATGAGTTTTTCAAGCGATGCCTCTTGTTCTTTCGCCCCCGACAGAGAGTGGCCCCTCCCTTTCCCCAGGCGGCCTTGCTGGCGCCCAGCTCTCTGTTCTCAGTTGCATCGCGAAGGTTCAGGGTCGCAGGGGCCCGAGCTTCAGTTCACCTGGGGCCTGGCTTCGTCATCATTCCAGAGTGGTCGCTCTCAGATGTGACGGTTGGTGGTGGGCAAAACGTTCGGGCGCTTCTGGGGGTCCCAAGGTTGGCCGTCACCCTTGTATACAGTTGTCCCTGTCATTGGGGCGCCCCCCTTTAACCGTATAATCCCGTCCCTGCTTCTCTCTTCTCCCGTTCTTCCGCCTCCGCAGCCGCGTGGCTGAGCCTCTGCCCTTTCACGGAGGGGGCCTGCCCCGTAATCCCAGGGTTGGGTCCCGGGACTCGCCCGCGCGCACGATGGTGGACCATGGTGCGGCTTGGCTCTTCCCACTGCGCCTGCAGGCGCAGGCAGTGGCGGAGCCCCCGCGCCTGGCGCTCGTGGCGGGTGCCCCCTCGGGCGCCATGGCTGGGGCCGCCGCAGGCGCGGTGGCCGGTGTGGCCTGGCGCCCCCGGGACAGCCCGGCTGGCGCAGGCACCTCGTGCGCCGAGGGGCCCGCAGAGGCGGACGCTCGGGCTGAGCGCTCCGGACCGGAACGGATCCAGTCTCCCCGGGCGAGGAGGTCGGGGACCCGGACCCAGCAGGTGCCCCGGGGAAAGGCTAACCCGGCGGCAAGGATGGCGGGGCCCAACCCCTGGCCACATCCAGCCCAGTGTTGGGCAATTCGGCGGCGCCATAGGGGAGGTCACCTCGGCCGCCCCTGGGGTCGACGGGAAGGACGAGGATGAGGAGGAAGAAATCGAAGAGGGGGACGGGAGTCCGCTCCAGGACGTCGTCGCAGAGATTCTCGAGGCGGTCCGGGAGGCGCAGGCCGTACGGAACCCAGGTCCTCCCCCTCCGGCAGCCCGGAAACACTCCCAACGCCCGAGGCCACGGGGCCTGGGGCTTGGGCGGCAGGAATCTGGGAGACCAGGGTACCCCGGACCAGCCCGGGGGATGAGGGAGAACTCTTGAGCACCGCAGGGGATGCCAATGCCACGGTTGGCGGAAATTGGACGCGGTGGATAGTGGGAACTGCCCTGACCCACTCGGACGAGTTCGCGGCCTGGACGTGGGGCCTCGAGTGGTGGGAGGGCTTGGAGCCGATCTTGCAGTACCTCTGGATTCTCCTCCCGTTGGTTGGCGGCTCATTCGTGCTGGACCAGTGCCTCATGGGGCTCGCCGACGGGGGCTTGAGTCTGGGGTGCTGGTTCACTGGACACGCTGGGGCAGGCCCGTGCCCGGGCGGAGCCGCACCCCTCGAGGGCCTGGCCCGCCCGCTGGACCCATCCCGCCCGTTAGGGTCGTCGCGTGCCAACTCGATGATGGACTTGCGGGGAACGGGAGCTTCCCCCCAGGACAACCAGTTCTTCAGCACGGTGGTCAAGGGGCGCGGGCAGGACCAACGCCGCGGCCGCAACCACGTGGTGGCGGTCTTCGGGTCAGACCAGGCCAGACTCAAGCCCAGGGAAGAGGACCAACCCGGAGCACGAAGGATAACAAGTCTGTCCCCCGCACGGCGGCGATTGGAGGAGGCGGAAGCAAGGGCCATCTTCTTGGGGCGGAAGGGCGACAGCCGAGCACCCAGGTCGGACATCCCCACCAGCTACCTCTACACCGGGGTGGACGCGGACGCCCGCATCGACGTGTCGGAGCACACCCCCTTCGGCACGCCTTCTACGGGTGCTGCGGACTGGCGATTTCCGCGGGGCTCGCCCTGGCCCTGGTAGCCCTGGACGATTCCGTACTTAAGTACGGAATCGTCCAGTTGGGATTGCGGCTCGCTTGCGCAGGGTGCGGCTGCTGCTCACGCCGAAGGCTCCACCCTCAAGGGGGGCGTCACCCCATGGGCGACTCGGGATGCTCTGCCCCGGCGGGTGCTGTAAGCGCCTTGCCAGGAGCGCCCCCACGCCCCTCGTAGAAGACGACGTGCCCTACTCCGGCACCGAGCGGTGGGACCGAGGGCCCCGGGGGGAGGTTTTGGCCGGGCTCTGTACCGAGCACGGGGGCCGCTACCAGGAGGTCCGCGGGAAGGTCCGGTGCACCGCGGGCGAATGGTTCCACGGGGGCGGGAGCTGGCCCAGTGAAAATGGCAGTGCCACGCACGCGCCCGAACCAGGGGATCGGGGGCCCTGCCCTCGCCGAGTGGCTGACCCCCCTGCGTCGTCGGGGACCCCCTGCCGGCGCTGGTGCCTGCCCTGGAGGCGATGAGGCGCCCCGAGGCGGCGGAAGGAAAATTCTTTCGGGCCTACTCGCGGCGAAAGGGCGTCGGGCCCAACGCCGGTTTCGACCCAGGCGGGGAGGAAGGGCACCTTGTCTCCCTGAAGGGGCTGGGTCAGGCGCGACCCGCTGACCACCCCGAGGGGGAGACGGTCGTGGGGGTCTCAACGCCAGTGGCTTTCCTCCGGGACCCGGGCGCGCACGCGCAGAGGGTCGTCTTCAACCAGGTCGCCCGCAATGCGGCCGAGCTGCCCTTGGGCGGCTTCTCCAAGCTGACCCCGAGCGCCGCCGTGCTGGTGGACCTGCAGGTGCCCGCAGGCCACGTCCTGCGCGCGTGGGCCGACGACCTTCAGGACTCCTACTCGGCCTTCGACTTTGCCGATGAGATGGCTCGCACCAACGACGTCGCCCTCCCGCTCTCTCCGAGGCTCTACGAGGGCTTCGCCGCGCTGGACCGCCTGCGGAGCCGCTGCCCTCGTAAGGGCCGCGATCTCCTTGAGAAGGTGGCCCACTGCCATGGCGGGCTGACATGGGGGGCCTGAGCGCGCCGGACTGGGCTTGCGAGTCTCACGTGCGGCTGCTTGCCCAAGCTGGAAGCTTCCCTCTAGAATGGCGGGTGCTCAACCGCCACCTGGCGCCCGAAGGGGCCGCCTTGGGGCGCGTCGTGCCGGGCGACCACTTCGGCCTGGCCGTCGACGCGCCTGGCTCGCAGACGGCCCGGCACGCGACCAGGAAGTCCCCCGCCCGCGCGCGGGAGGGCTATGCCGACGCCGGCCTGAAGGTTCGCTCGGGCAGGGAGGTGATGGATGCAGCCGAGGCGACGGTCATCGGGGCGGAGCTTCTCGGACACGGCCTGCTCGTTGGCGCCTCCCGCGCGGGCGGGCTGGCGCTGGCCTAAATGGGCCTGTCCCTTCCGGCGGCCCGCCTTCTCGTTCCTCCGCAGAGCTGCTACAAGGAGGTCGACCAGCAGAGGAGCCCGCGTGGAGTGTTCGAGCTGCGCGGCGCCGCCTGCAACGAGTGCGCCCTGTCCGCCGTCCTGCTGCCGCTGATGGCATCGGACCTCCCCGCGGGTTGGGGCCCTCGCGCGTGGCCGGAGCGTCGGTCGAGGCGACTGCCCCGGCGCCCGCCGCCCGCGCGTTATGGCGTCAGCGCGAACGGCGAGGAGCCCGGGCGTGGCTCTACCCTCCTGGGCCGGCCGCCCTGGCCAACCTGGAGGACGGCGCCCTCCAGCTGGGCCCGGGGGGGGGCTGCCCCGCCGCCAGGGGCGTTCGACCCGGCGGTTTTGCTCATCGAGTACTTCGACGTGCTGGAGCTCTGCTATGGGGAGGAGGCCCGGCTCGCGGGTTAGTTCGCGGGCCGGGGCCTTCGCGCGGGCCCGGGAATCGACGTCGAGCGCCGCGAATATTAGGACCTGGCCGACTCGCGTCTTGCGGAGCGGGTCGTCTGGCTGATCTGGCGGAGGCGCGTGAAGATGACCATTTCGCAGGTGCCGTGCGCCAGCTTCTCCATCGCGGGGCGTCCGAGGCCCCGGTCAGGGACTCGGCCCTCGTCCTCCCGGCCCGCGAGGCTGGGCGGCGTCCTCGTCGGGGTGGGCATGCCGGCGCCGCTCGCTCTCCTGGCGACGGGGCCGGGCTGCGCGAGCGCCCCCTGGCCGCCAGTTGGGCGCGGCAGTTCGGCTGGCCCCTCCTGAAACCTTCCCGATGAAGGTTCCAAGAAGGTTTCAGGGGCATGTTCCCAAAACCTTCGAATAGCCTTTCAGAAAACCTTCGAAAAGCCCCCCGAGGAGAACCTTCCAGCAACCTTCCAGGCAACCTCCCAAACACCTTGCAAGCACCTTTCTAAAACCTTCCAGCATCTAGCGAAACCGCTCAATGCATTCCAAACACCTTCCAACAACCTTCCAACTAACCTTCCAAACACCTTCCAACAACTTTCCGACAACTTTCCAAACACCTTCCAAACATCTTACAACGGACCTTCCAACAACCTTCCAACATACCTTCCAACCAACCATCCTAAAACCTTCCTAAAACCTTCCACAGGAAGGTTCCATGAGGGGTTGGCCCAAAAACCTTCCAAAAACCTTCCCGAGGAAGGTCATGGGACTAGGAAGGTTATTTGGGGGGTTCCAGGAATCCCAGAACATTTTCGAGGAAGGTTTTAGGGTTTGTCCTTTAAACAAATCCAGGAATCCTGGAACCTTCCCGAGGAAGGTTTTTCCAACAACCTCCCAACAACCTTCAAAACAGCCTTCCAAAAAACCTTGCGACAACCTTCCAACAACCTTCAGAAAACCTTCCAACACCTTCCAAAACACCTTCCTAAAACCTTCCAGCATTTAGCGAAGCCGCCCAATGCATCCCAGAAACCTTCCAACAACTTTCCAAACGTATTTCCAAACAACCTTCCAACAACCTTCCAGCCACCTTCCAAGCGCCCTCCAACAACCTTCCAAACAAACTTTCCAACAACCTTCCCAAACAAACCTTGCAAAACAACCTTGCAACAACCATCCAACAACACTCCTCAGGAAGGTTTCAGGAGGGGCTGGCCCAAAAACCGTCGAAAACCTTACTGAGGAAGGTTTTAGGAAGGTTATTTGGGAGGTTCCAGGAAGTCCGGAACCTTCCCGAGGAATGTCTTAGGGCGTTTTTTTTGGAATGGTTTTGGGAATTCTGGAACAGTCCTGGGGGCGGTTTCAGGAAGGTTGCCTTCCAACAACTTTTCAAACCACCTTCCAGAAACCTTGCCAACAACCTTCCCAGAACCTTCGAAACAACCTTCCAACAACATTCCTAAAACTTTCCAGCATTTAGCGAAACTGCCCAATCCATTTCAAAAACCTTCCAAACACCTTCCAAAACACCTTCCAAACAACTTTTCAAACATCTTCCAACAACTTTCCGGTCAACCTTCCAAGCACCTTCCACGCATCTCCCAACAACCTGACAACACACCTTCCAAACACCTTCCAAACAACCTTCCAAATTATCCCGGCAAAGCAACCTAACAGCGATGTGTAGAAGCATATGGAAACATTCCCCTTAAGATCGAGATGAGAATCCAGTTGTAGAATTCTCCTGTTCTCGCAGTGGCAGTCGCATTCGCGATGACAGTCGCAGTGGCAACGGCAGTCACAGTCACAGTCTCAGCCTCAGCCTGCCTCAGTATCAGCCTGCCTCAGCCTCAGCCTCAGCCTGCCTCAGCCTCAGCCTCAGCCTGCTTCAGCCTCAGCCTCAGCCACAGCCTGCCTTCAGCCTCGGCCTCAGCCTCAGCCTGCCTCAGCCTCAGCCCATCAGCCTCAGCCTCGCCTCAGCCTGCCTCAGCATCAGCCTGCCTCAGCCTCAGCCTCAGCCTCAGCCTCAGCCTCAGCCTCAGCCTGCTTCAGCCTCAGCCTCAGTCTGCCTTCAGCCTCGGCCTCAGCCTCAGCCTGCCTCAGCCTCAGCCTGCATCAGCCTCAGCCTCAGCCTCAGCCTGCCTCAGCTCAGCCTGCCTCAGCCTCAGCCTCAGCCTGCCTCAGCCTCAGCCTCAGCCTGCTTCAGCCTCAGCCTCAGTCTGCCTTCAGCCTCAGCCTCAGCCTCAGCCTGCCTCAGCCTCAGCCTGCATCAGCCTCAGCCTCAGCCTCAGCCAGCCTCAGCAGCCTCAGCCTCAGCCTGCCTCAGCCTCAGCCTCAGCCTCAGCCTCAGCCTCAGCCTCAGCCTGCCTCAGCCTCAGCCTCAGCCTCAGCCTCAGCCTCAGCCTGCCTCAGCCTCAGCCTGCCTCAGCCTCAGCCTCAGTCTGCCTCAGTATCAGCTTGCCTAAGCCTCAGCCTCAGCCTGCCTCAGCCTCAGCCTCAGCCTGCTTCAGCTTCAGCCTCAACCTTAGCCTCAGCCTCAACCTTTTCCTCAGCCTCAGCCTCAGCCTGCATCAGCCTCAGCCTCAGCCTCAGCCTGCCTCAGCATCAGCCTGCCTCAGCGTCTGCCTCAGCCTGCCTCAGCCTCAGCCTCAGCCTCAACCTCAGCCTCAGCCTCAGCCTGCCTCAGCCTCAGCCTGCCTCAGCCTCAGCCTCAGCCTGCCTCAGCAGCAGCCTGCCTCAGCCTCAGTTGGCTACGGGCATTCAAAATGTGGCCCGGGAATGGAGTTCTGGGAACTCGAAGAGCACGAAGTGGCCTACAGTTGGCTCCGGGCATTCAAAATGTGGCCCGGGAATGGAGTTCTGGGAACTCGAAGAGCACGAAGTGGCCTACAGTTGGCTCCGGGCATTCAAAATGTGGCCCGGGAATGGAGTTCTGGGACTCGAAGACCACGAAGTGGCCTACAGTTGGCTCCGGGCATTCAAAATGTGGCCCGGGAATGGAGTTCTGGGAAGTCGAAGAGCACGAAGTGGCCTACAGTTGGCTCCGGGCATTCAGAATGTGGCCCGGGAATGGAGTTCTGGGAGGTCGAAGAGCACGAAGTGTGTGACTGTTTGCTTAAAACGACTTTTGCGGCACCCTGTCCGGCACCCGCCCAGACCCCCCTGTGGAGTCATCTGCTGCTCTCTTTTTACCCCATTAGAAACCTATCAGTCTTCGCTGTTAGGTAATAACCTTCCTAAAACCTTCCTAGAACCTTTTCCAGGAAGGTTATGCAGGAGGGGTTTGCCCAGAAAACCTTCCAAAAGCTTTCGGAGGGAGGTTGTAGGAAGGTTTTTTCTGAGGGGGTTCCAGGATTCCTGGAACCTTCCTGAGGTTTTAGGAAAGTTTTTTTTGGAGGGTTCCAGGAATCCTGGAACCTTCCGGAGGGAGCATTTATGAAGGTTTCAAAACGGTTTGTCCAACGACCCCCCAACAACCCTCCAACCAACCTTCCAAAAACCTTCCAACAACCTTCCGAAAACCATCCAGACACCGTCCACACAACCTTCCAAACAACCATCCAAAACAACTTCCAGCACGTAGCGAAACCGCCCAAAACATTCCCAAAACCTCCCCACAACCTTCCAAACTACCTGCCAAACAACCTTCCAACAAACCTTCCAAACACGCGCACGGGATCGCTGGCTCGTCCGCTCTTACACCTCTTATTGACTCCCTTCCCCTCGCTCTTGTCCTATCTCAGCCTCGGAGAGTCGCGGAGCTTTCTTTGAGCGCGTTTCCTGTTTTGGAGGGGGCGGTCGGGTCGCGTTGCGTTTTCCGCGTTTGGGCTGCCAGCTTTCCAGAACCCCGCGTTGTCCTTGCGTGGGCCGCTCGTTGTCCACGCGTTGCCTCCCGTCCCTGTGCCCTGGCGTCAAGAACTTATTACGCCGCAGTTCTCTGTTGGGAGCTTTGGTCTTATCAGCTCGATTACGTCACCGCTCGCTCTTGGGCGCCGCGGTGCTAAGAGCCTTTGGGAGTATTTTGGGCCTCTGGGGGGGCTCTTGGGGAGCCTCTTGGGTGCCTCTTGGGGACCTTTTGGGGCTTTTCGGGGGCCTCTTGGGGCCTCCTGGGAGCTTCTGGGCTGCGGGGGTGAAGGCACCAGGCTGCCTTTGGCCGTCTTTGGGCTCTCTTGGGGGCCTCTTGGGGCCTTCTTGGGGCCGTCCTGGGGCCGTCTTGGGCCGTCTTGGCGCCTCTTGGGCCGTCTTGGCGCCCTTCTTGGGCCGTTTTTGGGCCCTCTTGGGGGCCTTTTGGGCCTTCTTGGGGCGCTCTTGGGGGCCTCTTGGACAGTCTTGGGTGCCTCTTGGCCCGTCTTGGCGCCCTCTTGGGCTATTTTGGGGCCCTCTTGGGAACATCTTGGGCCGTCTTGGGGCGGTCTTTGGGGCCTCTTGGACCGTCTTCAACGCCATGAAAGGCGAAAAGCCGTATATGCTAGAAATGTACGTTCCCTGGCAACTCAATGATTTTGGCATCGTGGGGCCCTCTTGGGACGCCTCGTGGGCGCCTCCAGGGGGGTCGTGGAGGCCTCTTGGGACGTCTTGGGGCCGCCTTGGGCGGTCTTGGGCTCTCTTGGAGCGCTCTTGGGCCGTCTTGGGCGCTTCTTGGGCCGTCTTGGGCCGTCTTGGGCGCCGTCTTGGCCGCTTCTTGGGCTGTCTTAGGCGCCTAAGACGGCCCGAGAAGCGCCCAAGAAGCGTTCTCCGATGATGTCTCGAGTGAAACGCTGTTCTTAAGCCCCGAAGGCCGTCCTACTCGATAAAAAACGAGGCGGGAGGGCAATTCGATCCGGGGCCGCGGATGCCAACTCCCTGGAACTCACCCAAGTCCAATTTCTTCCGACTAACGGACCGCGCGCTAACGCGCGCTTTCCGTCACCTGCTTGGCACGGGGACGGAAAGCGCATTTACTTTCAGAGCGCACGAGATCGCTGGCTCGTCCGCCCTTACACCCCTTATTGACTCCCTTCCCCTCGCTCTTGTCCTATCCAGGCCTCGGAGAGTCGCGGAGCTTTCTTTGAGCGCGTTTCTTGTTTTGGAGGAGGCGGTCGGGTCGCGTTGCGTTTTCCGCGTTTGGGCTGCCGGCTTTCTAGAACCCC